CTGAGCCAGAAATCAGAACAAAGAGATAAAGAGACAAGCATAAGATAGCATAAGAGAGGAACAAACTGTAGGCTATAGGGACTTTATGGGAGAACGCTTCTTCCTCACTTGGTGGTTTCAACCCAAACGTCAGAACAAAAAGCAGGTAAATACACATTTGGCAGCTTCAGCCCCCCCGCCATCACCATCATCACCTAAAACATCCTAAAGCCCTACCCTCAAAACCCAACGAACACGGACCTCACACTCGGATGTAAAGTCTCCCTGTTGATCTTGCTGCTTGGGGGGTAGTAAAAAGGTTTGCTTCGAAACACCTCCCACCGTCAAGACATCTTCTTCAGCTCGTCATCTTTGCATTCGGTGCCATCGTCTGCGTCGGGTGTTTGGAACCGAAGCCAAACGGTTTTTGGATGCTTTCGTGAAGCAAGTAACAACCCATATAGGAAACTAGGAAACCGGTGAACACCGGGTATGAATGGTGAAAGGCGGATCATGTGCGTCATGTCGTGCAGCTTGCTCAGTTTTTGACTCCTGACTTGCTTTCTGATGCCGATTCATTTGATTGTTACGAAGGCGGACGATTGTCTTCACCTCCTGCGACCTGTCATTCCGTAAATAATCATATGTTGCATGAGAACAGTGAACAGTGTCTTCGCTTAGTTTGGCCCCACGTAACTGCTTAATTGTATACTGATAGAAAATGCAACATATGGTGTAGAATTGCATTTAATATGGTTCAATGTTAAAATATGTGATATCTTGTACTATGATATAAGTATATTTTTAATGTTGATATATAGTGTATAGTTTTTTCCTATTGTTATTATTTATTATACAATGTCAAGGTGTCACATCATGTCACATGGTCACCACTGACAAGGCTTACGCCTAATTACGCCCACTGGTTTGAGCCATTCGAGAGAACGTCCAGCCCTCCAATCCACTTTGATCCAACAGCGAAGCAAGAGCAGAACCAAAACGCAGTTTGTCAACCTTGCAAATGACATCAAATGAATATACAAGATCTAGATTCTAATCTCTTGTCCGGGACTCCTTCTAGGTTTCGTTGAGGTTTTGGAACGAAGTCACTCGCCCGGAGTCGGCCAAAACAATCGAAAAAAGGAGTCCCGAGTGGAGGCTTCGTTTTTGGGTTCCTGGCTTCAAATGCCTTAAAAGCTTCGTTTGCCCTCTGCAAATTCTCACTCCCTATGACCTTTTTATGTAAATGCATGTATATAAGTGCTGAGCGTCCAACACATGAATGCCATCACTTGGGCACACCTTGCCCTGGTCTCTCTCTCCCAAACTCTCCTCTGCAATTGAAAAAAGAAACAGCGCAGCCATTCCCCTCAGCCAGAGTTGTTCTGCGCAAAAGGGGGTCCGCGAAAATTATACTTCATGGATCTTCATGGATGATTTCGTGGCGCGGGAGGGTGGGTTTAGGGCGGTGCAGCGCCTCTCCCCGACCAGCACACAAAAAAACGATGCTTTTATGTTGGTCTATTGTTGCTGTTGTTGTTGCTGACTCTCCATGCACCATGGTACAGCTTCACGTGGCTTCAATATGCTTCAATCAGGATGTTCTTCGGGGCCGGGTGTGGGCTGGAAGTTCCAACCCCCGAGCACATTGTTTATCGCTTCTAACATGCTGCTTTGAACGCCATGTTCTCCGTGTCAAAGTAAAAGCGGGGCTCAGTGTCGAGCGTGGGAGGGAGGAAGTGTGTTTTGGGGGCATGGCTTCCTATACTGCACCCCGCGGCATCAACACTTTGTCCCACCCAATGCCCCTGAAGCAAGTTTCAAGTTGGTGTGCAGAAAGCAGCTTCCAATTCTTGCGAGTTCAAAAAACTAGCATCATCATCATCATCATCATCATGTTGGGCTGCAGTAACAAAAGTCACCCCTTTGGACCCGGTTGACGGGCCCAAACGGCCACTTGAGCGTTTTAACTTTAGCTCACTGCTTTGGACATGCACGTGCAAGCAAGTGGCAACATGTGGCAACAACATCTGCAGCTTCGCTGCCGAAAGCCTGAAGAAGTGCGGAACCCACCCAAGTCGATCTCTCAAAGTGAGAGAAGCCGCTAAATGTCATACTCAACAACGTGACTCTATTGTGACTCTCATTGGTAGCGAAAGAAAAGGAACAAATAACGTACTACAGCATTACAATTCTCCATGAAAAAAGGTGCTCAAATCCACTGAAAAACAGAGTCAGGGTCGGGGTTCCCAAAACTGAAAGGACCACATCAAAAAGCATCAAAGTCATATGGGAGCGCCATGGTGTGTCCCCGTAAGACACCAGGGTTTCTGTCCTCTGCGGTTTGAGCATTGAGCCGTGGCCATTCAACTCCCCCAATGAGCACTCAGAAAGCCAATGCTTTCTTGTTTCTTGTTCCTTCTGTCGTGCCATAAAGCAACAAAGATTACATCGTCCTCGTCGTCGCCCCTTTTTCTGCGCCAATGATCAGTCCGGCTTAGCACTGAGAAAGGCAATTCAAGTCGCTGAATGCACATGTGGCCCTTCTGGAAACACTAGTCACAAATGTCACAAATAGCTACTAGCTGAACAAACCCACAACCGCTAAAAGGTGTTTCCCTTCCTCACCATGTCCACGAACGCACCCACCAAACTCTTGCTCCAGAAACGCGCGCCAAGCAGCCCTTGCATGAACCGTCTGCGGATCCTCCGCGGAATCGAAAGCGATTTGGGCCAATCCTTTGAACATCTTCGATCCGAATCCGGCGACTCAATTGTCGAGACGAATCGAGCCGAATCGTGTAGGTGCATGTAGAAAGGTTGTTCAATTCAAATGGGCGGGTCTATTAATCAAGAGTCATTAGGGTCCATATGGGAGAGAAAAACGCATCAGCGAGTCACGTTTTATAGAGGGGTATCGGGAGAATCCTTGCTCGCAAACAGCTTTGAGATCGGTGAAAGACTTCTGTGATCACTCAGGGCCACTTGCAACGGCTGAAACGCTTGAACCAGACCCCTTCGGAACTGGGTCGAAATAGCCCAATCTGGGAGTTCCTTAAACATCATATGTAGCATAGGCTTGGAGTTCCTTGGATGCGTTGGTCAAAGGCAGACCGCAAGCAACTATGATCCCCTTCTTGCTTTGTCTTCGGGTGAGAAGAAGTGGCAACACTTGGGTGTGGCTAGAATACTCCGGGATCATAGACCACCTTGGCACTGCTTCGGAATTGGCTCAGTGATGGGCGCACAGAATCTTTACGGCCCACATTTTAGAACACCCAGTGCAGCGTCAACAAGCTGCTGACCGCAAGTGACAACCTGTTGCAACAACTCTGCACCATGCGGCACCCTGCAGCACCTCTCATCCGATGCATCAGAAGCACATCAAATGCATCACAAGGCTGCGAGGAGCGACCGGGCGCGCCGAGTCGATCGAGCCGATCGTGATCGGCCAGTGCATGACGGGCGATCGTGGGGCTATCATGTGCCTCGAGGTATCTCAAATGAGTGGATGAAACGTGGGCCACCCATGTTGGCCCTTTTGCATTCCCAACGTGCTCGGAAAACAGCAAGGTCGAAAAGCAACTGGTTGCGACGGTGATGACTGTGGCCCCAGGTAGTCGCATGCAAACGCGTGCAGGTATCCTTGCCGAGTGTCTGCAGTTCTGCAAGTCAGCTCGGTTGCATGTCAAGCACAAAAGCATGATGATTCGTGAGGAAAGGTGGAGCTTAGTGAGCTTGCCTGCCTGAGTTTGCACACGAATCTAGGTGCTCAATGGTGCTCAGGGACCTTTGGTAGCTGCTGCTGTCTGCCCTCCCGCCAGCTGTCGTAGTAACAAAATGGCAGGCGGCCTAATTGCTGGGTCAGCTAGCGGGTCTTTGTACAAGCTCAGCGACTGTGACATTACCAGGTAGAATTTTACAGAGCCTATAGTATGCATTCGTACTTCACAGTTCCACGCCTTCTCAGAATTTAATGATCCTTCTAATGCAGGTCCGTGGAAAAAAGCGTTTCTTGTGGCCTCCGTTGCTCAGTGAAGCACTCATGGAAGGAGAGGAAAGGTGACCGCTTTAGGTGGAAGCGCGGTACGACGACCGTTCCTGCCTGCGATGTTTGGTGGTAGTCTGCTCGTGCACCTGCCCAAACCGAGTCAGTTCCCAGTAAAACCGAGCCAGTTCCCAAGCTTAGTACTGTAAGGAAACAAAGGAACAGCATGGCAAGGGAAAGCGCGGTACGTCGACCGGACCTGTTGCCTCACCCAACTTCATGATCGTACATGGGTGCATGTAGGACATGATCGTACCGGTCCCAGGTATTGGTGGTATTGGATGGTATAGACGGGTAGACCCGCAAGACTTGGGGGTGGCGCGTGCGGTGTTGTTCTTGCACCTGAGTCACCTCCCCCGACCTCTTTCCACCAACCCTGAGTCACCGCAGTGATCTTGGAAGACCGTCGCTACACATTGCGGCTGAAGGTTACCGAGCGCGGCGCGGCATTGGGCCAGAACGTCCAAAAGGAAGACAGCAGGGGCCAACGGAAGATGTAGCCCAATCTTGGAGTTCCTTAAACATAATATGTAGCATAGGCTTGGAGTTCCTTAAGGCCTTGGATGTGTTGGTCAAGGGAAGACAGCAGGCAGCTATGATCCCCTTCTGGCTTGGTCTTTGAACACCAATGTTAACACCATTCAAGTGAGCATGTCGAAGATGAGATGAGTTGTCAAGCATTTCCCGATAGCAACCCGCGCCCAGCCTGCCGTTTTCTTCAGATTGATGTGGCCATGCGCGTGTGCTTTCTCCACGCAATGCGTGGTTTGAAGGTTTGCCCGCCAATGCAGGTTTCTCACAGCCCCACTCAGGTCGTGGTGATCCTCATTTTCATCGCCACATTCGTGCTCCCCTCCCTCCTGGACGAAGCCCAGTGGGTGCGCCTCTCTTGGTTCTGCGCCTTTTGGCGCACGGGCACCGTAATTTGGGGCGGCGGTCAAGTGGTGCTACCTCTGCTGGAGAATGAGGTGGTGCCCACTGGTTGGGTGGATCAATCAGTCTTCTTCAGTGGCTTGGCTCTAGCGCAGGCGAGGAGGTTTTTGACTGATCTGCTGATCGTTGCTGGTGATCTGCTGGCTGCTGGGTGTCTTGGACCGTGGAATGGAAAACGTTAAGATGACATGAATCTCGGAAGAAGCGCAGAAACTCCTGCGACGGTTCTTCGACCAGAACTTCCATTCAAGAATGCCCATGGCTTGCACCATCTTGCGCCAATGCATGTTGTTTCAGATATATTTTTTGCATCTCAGTAATTATATATGCTGACTTCTCACCTCCAGCTGGCCATGCGCTAACAGCGCAGGCGATGCCTGGTCCTCTCTTTAACTTTGCTGCCTTCCTTGGAGCCGCGGCGGGCTACAAGGCCTATGCGACCATCGGCGAGGGGATCCTGGGCGCCGCGCTCTGTTGGTTGGGACTGTTTGGGCCGGGCGTGATGCTGATCTTTGGCATTTTGCCCTGGTGGGGCCACTCGGATCTTGGGTCAAGCAGTCGAATTGAGTGGAAGTGGGAGGCTGGGAGGTGAGGCTGGGAGAAGATCAATTATATGGTTGTGGTTTGGGGAGACTGATGAGTTTTTGCGATCGTTTGGCATTCAATTCAAGCGGGGACTTCTAGGGAAGAGGAACGCCTCCAATTATAATCACATATGCAACAATGTTATCCAACAAGCTTCCCCAACAAGCTACAATATGTTATCCTCTTCCACCTCAGTCAGTCGCTTTGTCCCGCGTCAGTCGCTCCCACACACAACTGGTGTCTCATGGCTTGGGGTGAGTTTCAGTAGTGTCAATAGCGAAAGAAGTCCATGGCATGTTTGATGACACCATATGCACACCATTGATCATATCATTCTTTCATACTATGTTGTATTTGATGACGGCGGGGGTGTGCAACCTTGTGTTTGACGGGCTTCTTCTCGAACTGGTGGCTCATTGGAGTCATCCAACTTTTTCCTTCCAATGGAGAGTCATTCTCGATACTTTGGCAGTCTGGTGCCTTTGTCCTCCCAAATTCCATGGCCCAAACAAAATCAGCTTGTTTCAATGGCCCACCTGCCCATTGCGCTGGTGACCCAAAAATAGACGTTGAAAGACAACACGTGAATGCCCTGGTGAAAGGAAAGGAAGTTCTCCAAATCAGGTCCTCATCCAGACTCCTCTTTTCATCGTCTTTGACTCCTCAGGGGAGTCATACTATATGCCTTGGCTCGGCTTGGCTCGGCTTGGCTCCGCTCGCCTCACCGCGGAACTACCAAGGCCAGTTCCGCGCCAACGCCACCTACAAGCGAGCGCTGCCCGGCCTCAACGCCGCTGCGGTGGGTCTCCTGTGTGCGGCCCTGGTGCAGATGGGCGCGGCGGTGCGGGAGAAGAATACGAAGCCCTTGGGACCGAGCCTGGGACAGGAAGAACTCGAAGTTCTGAGGTTCTGAGGAGGAAGACTTGCAGGATGAAATCTATGGAATCTATGGATCAGCTTTGGATCACGGGCCAACTAGTCAAAGAGCTTTAATATCATCCTATGGATAATTCTTTCACCCTATATCATGCATTCACACGGGCCACCTGCCAGAGCTGTTCCCCTCCAGGTGTGCCTAACAGGTCAGGGCGATTGGTTCGCTCGTTGGGGGTCGTTGAGGATCGTTGAGGTGTGTTCCAACCGGTTCGTCGGTGGTCTTCCCGCCGTGACGAACGGGAGATGAATCAGAGCTGGAGCTGAAAAGTGATCGTGGCAAGGTCTCCGTGGTCGACTGATCCACAGGAGGTGGTCGATAGATTTCAACCGGATGCTTGAGCTGTTCACATGTGTTCTCCCCCCGACATCTACAATTACAATCAATTAAAACTACAACGTTTTATAGCTTAGACGGTTTCATTTGTTTGATGGTGAAGTCTTATGTCATGTTCTCGTCTCGTTCCAACTGTTTGCTGAATTCACTCAGGATCCCCCGAGAAGCATCCACCTGCATTGGCTTGATGGTGACCTGCTGCATTGGCTTCGTTCGTTATCGGCTGGGAGAGAGGAACAACGACACAATGGACATGGCACAAGCGGTGTTTGGAAGTCACTCAGGTACTAAAGCCCGGAAGTAACATCATGGAATCATGAAAGAAGGATAGTAATTAACAGTGTTAATCTTGTTATCACGTCTTTTCTGTTGGAGCTTTTGAAGTGCCCTTGAGAATCTCAAGAAGTCTTCAGGCTCATGAAAAGTGAGAGGTTCAGGGCACAGTTTTTGAACCCATTATTGTGGCAGGATGGGCTTACCCTGGCATGTCCAAGATATTCATGGATTCTGCTACTGCCGCGCCGGGTTCTGTTTACCGTTTAGCTCGTTTTACAACATGTTCAGAACACTCATAATATTGATTTTGGCATGTGTTCAATCAATAATTCAAGAAGGTCAACAAGAGACAGCGGACAAATACGGAGACAGACTATATTTATGCCAAAGGTTTTGTGCTACGACTGCGCGAATCCTCAGGCATTCTGGGGAGTGCACTGGCTGAAGTTCAAGGAGATGCCAATCTTAACGCAGGCGAGTCAGCATTAGATCGAAACCTGCTCGCCTGCGTCCAACGCTATGTCCAAGCCCAGTGGATCCCAGGCAACCACGAGTCGTAAGGAACCAGGGGCGCCGTTCCGTTCAGTCTATATGGTTTTTCGATGTTTTTTTGTCTTTGAAACCACGGATTACCAGCGCCATGGTAACTGGATCCCCTGGGAACTCCGCATGTCCTTCGTCCAAAGGTCTCACGTGCAGGGCACCATGGTGGCCCACCCCGCTCGCAGGTGCAAGCACCTCTGGTGGTGGTGGCCAGTGGCATTTTTGGTCTTTTGGCCGGCGTGTTGGAGATGCGCTGAGGACACAGCACTGGTAGAACGTCTGGGCGGAGGGGCCAGTGTTGTTTTTCTGGAAAAAGGAGGTTTGAATATAAGGCTTCTGGATGGATGTATATAACAATATACAACTATAACAATAACTACTATATATATATATAATATACCAAATCTCAGAGTCTCAGAGGGTAGTTCAACCCTCCAAAGCCTCCAAAATCTGCCCTGCAACTCGGTATTTGCATCTTCCTGAATCGTCCACAGAAAACATGGGTATATAACGGTATATACGGGTCCCAGCACCTTCCAGGTCTCCGACATGGAGGGTCGTTGGGAAGGGCAGCGTCCGTGACCCGGTCACCGGAGTCCTAGGGGTCGGGTCCTGCTCGGTCGGTCCAGGATCGCACTGAGTGGCTCCGGTGGCGGTTTCTGCGTGGCGGTTCGTGGGTTCTCTTGCGATGGCCCCAGAGGTGCAAGGGGCCCACGACGCTTCCCCGGCTTGATTGTAGATGTATCGAATTGATTTGTAATATTCAAGTTCAAGTTCAATTGCCTAACATGCAGGGAAGCCAAATGAAATCAAAGGAAAGCACGTCAAAACATACACATAAAATATCAGGATTGTCCGATTTTCCCACAAGTATGGTTGGTTTGGGGAGGTGAGTTGCCAATGCATGATACTGTGCAAATTTGGTCGTTGAAGCCGACCAAAATTGCTGGCGGGCCATGCCTTTTTTTTCGAGCTGCAAACTGCATGCTCCAGAGACCCTGTGGACGCAAGAACTTGAAAGAGCTTCCTGCGAAGTAACTAGTTTGTGTAGTACTTCCAGATGTTTACTAGATTAGGTATAGACCCTCAAGGCTCCTCGAAGAGGAAACGTCAACTTAAGTGGTAGAATTCCCGCAAATACCTTGTGGCTTTTCTCGGCTTCACGCAATGGACCAAGTCTTGCTGAACATGCACCTCCAGAGATGGGAAGTGCCATCTCATCTCCGCTCCGACTGCCACTCCCACGCGGACACACCATGCAGTGATGAAGCAGTGGAAAGAACTACCGTCCATAGGCCTATGAACAACCGCCAAATACGGGCCTTCCTTCATTCCCATCGTCGTGTCGACGAGGAGCGGGCAAAACACCCGGTGGGAGATCGGAGACGGTCGATGGATGTCCGGTGGTCGGGGGGAATGACGCTCGGCCACAAGGGAGCTCGGTGTGGAGAGTCTCTCAGATGCTGGCATTTGGGGTCAACCTTTCCTGGAATCCTATAGCTTTTCCCTGGTCCTAAAGGCTGCCCCCAGAGAGAGAGAGAGAGAGACAGAGAGACTGACAAGCCTCACACGCTTCCGCTTGGAAGTTCACCAACGTACCTCAAAGATCGCAAATTGAGTGGTGGGACGAATTGCCCGGATGTCCTTTGTTGTGGGGGTTGTAGATGTCCCTCTTTTAGCAGCACAGCTTTGTTCATGGCACCCAAGCGACCTCAGAGTTGGTGTAAAGCGACTTGCCGCATCCACGTGCTGACTGGCCCATACAAGTGACTAGCCCAGACTACAAACAACATGCCAAGCCTTGAGTGGTAACCTTGTTATCCTTTTTGGAATGGAGATCTAAAAAGGACGTGCTGCTAAGCCACTGAAGGTTATACAGTGTTATACCCTTAGCAACGTTAGACATGTGGTAAGTGCACTGGGTTGGTTGATTTGACAAATTACGAGAAACTCTGGTTTTCACCGTCGGGCCAATTCTGGCACACCCGGTGCGCCCACCAGCTTCTGCCCAATTGAAGTTCATCCAAGCGAAGGAACATGATTAACATGATGCAACTGCCACGACCTGGCCTACAAAACGTGCAAATAAAACCGCCAAACACCATCTGAAAAAGACTCTTCAAACTTCAGACAGTCCAAATTCTTAACATGCCGGGCGCTGCCAGAGCCTTCGGAGCCGGGACCTCCACGCGGAGCCTGCAGACCGCGCGGATGCCTCAGAGCCTCCGGATTTCAGTGTTGTGGAGGTTGATTGGATGCGATCGAACTGGAGTGAAAGATGAGAGTCGTCCCCAAAAAAACACATGAATTACGATTAAGATCGATTAATTAAGATACATTATTAAGTTAAGCTATTGTTTTTTGTTGTTTTTTGGGGCGGACCACCCCCGAAATGTTTCTCCGTCCATTGAGCTTAACTGTTCGGATGATGTCTTCGGTGGCGGCCCGATAGCGACAGGTGGAGCGGGGATGGAGTCGATCCGAGTGGCTCAAGGCAACACATGTCCGAGCATCGACGGATAGAACAGGCATCGAACTGACGCGAGACCGTGAGAGTCTCTCTCTCTCTCTCTAACATCATATAGACATCGATATAATAAGCAGACGTTCTTCTTCTACCGAAGCCCATTTCCTTGGCAGCTCGTCTCTTTTTTTCTCCAGGCCAAACGGTCCCCGTCCCAAGCCATGCTGCGCCGGTGTGCAGCTAAGGGCGGGACGCCCCTGGCAGAACATGCAAGAGACCTCAGCATGAGACCAGAGGAAGAGTCACCAGGTGACATGCGTTTCCCCATGTATACCGTGCCTGTAGAGGCATTACAGAAGATGACTAAGATTGAGCCACATGAAGTGCTACAGGAAGGAGGTGTACTAGTGGAATACGAGAAGAACTTGGGCAAAGCTGCGTTTGTTTCACACCAATGGATTGGAAGCAGTCATCCAGATCCAGAATTCAAACAGATGCGCGTTCTTCAGCAGGCTTTGGAGCAGGCGATGTTGATGCGATCCATACCTGTAGACATCACAACGGAGGCCGCCATGGGTGGTAAGCCAATGTCTACATCCCAACTTTGGTCGGCGCCTTTGTTCATTTGGTATGACTACTTCTCCATTCCGCAACTGGACATCAATGCTTCTGGCCAAAAGTCCACCCAAAGGGACGCCATAGCAACAATCCCCACTTATGTAGGCCAGTGTGATTTCTTTTTTGCACTGGTTCCCTTTGTTGAGAAGCCATGTCAAACTGGTGTTGTATCATGTTGTATCACTCTCCACTTGGTCTCGCCGTGGCTGGTGCCGAATGGAAAGGATATGCCGTCAGCTTTCCAAAAGTGAGGCCTGTGTCACAGTGTTCAGTGGCACAAACTTAGAATTGAGAAGAACAGCGGCAATGGCTCAGGAGGCTGTGGGTGAAGGAGATTTCACTGTAGAACACGATCGCCTGCTACTAGCTCCAGTTTTGATGCGAGCCATCAGACGCAAGTTGCTAAACTTGTTGAGGTCCCAAGATATTCTTGGTTACCGTGCATTGCTGAATTTGCAGTCCGTCCACTTGCGAGGTCTTGATGTCGAAGGCTTTTGCACGCCAGTGCCCGGATTTGAAACAGAATTGGATTTAAATCATTTAGATTCCAGTTCCATCCAGGTAGAGCATTTCTTCTACCAAAATGGCTTCACGTCACTGAATGACACGGATAGTCGCGGATGGTTTCCTATCCACTACGCAGCCGTGGGAGGCGACTTGTTGGTGATCAACGGCTTGTTGACAATGAGGGCAGATATGAACTGCAGAACTAAGAAGGATCATCCTGCATTGGGCTTTCCGCCTTGGATCAGCCCATTGAGCATTTGCGCCTTCTACAAGCACAACGATGCCATAGGACTACTGCTGTCAGCACGCGCAAGAGTGGAGACCGGTCTGATGGCGCCTCCTTTGATGATAGCAGGGCATGCCAACAATCCAGAGGCTATTCGGCTGTTCATCCATGCTGGCGTTGATCCAGAGAAACGAAACATGTTCGGCTTCTCACCTTTTGAGGCTGCGTGTAATGAAGGCTCCTTGGAGGCCATGAAGGAGTTTTTGAAAGCAAAGCCCACCATGAAGGTGCCATCTTCTGCGTTGCATCTTGCTATGACTGAAAAAGGTGGTAATGTAGTCCCTTGATTTATAACCCCCCCCCCCTCAACAACCAAGGCCTCCAAAATAATGTATATGAAAATCAATCAGTTGATAATTAAATAAGGAATCCTTAGCTAGCTACCTCTGGAGCTACTCTGGCAATATTAAATTAAAAGGAAATAAGAATTCCTAACTTTGAAGACCTCTGGCAATATTAAATTAAAAGGAAATAAGAATTCCTAACTTTGAAGACCTCTGGCAATATTAAATTAAAAGGACATCTCAAATTTCTTAATAGAAATCTCCATCCAAAAGCCTCCAAAAGCATCAAATCTCAATGGAAATCTCAACTTTTCTAATAGAAATCTCCATCCAAAAGCCTCCAAAAGCATCAAATCTCAATGGAAATCTACAAAGTTTTAATAGAAATCTCCATCCAAAAGCCTCCTAAAGCATCAAACCTCAATGGAAATTGTCAATAGAGATGAGGTCTCAGTATAGCTTCTATATAGGTACTTGCCATACCATTTTGGCTCAAGTGCCCAACCAGGTAAAAAGGAGCTTTAGCGCGCGAGCTTCATGTTGAACTAAGGGCTAGAACGGGGCCAGGGCACGCTTTTCATCCGTTCGCAGGTTATCAGCCGTATCCAGACTCCTTCGAGCTGGGTACGAGCTACGGCCTTACACAACACCATCTAAACGCACACGCATCGGATAGATCAGTTACCCTCAGTCACTGAAGATGGACCAATCCGACGCCAGCACTGCATCCTTTGGAGCAGCCGCTGCGGCCGCAGATCGGGTGAGTGCATCCCACAACTCTAGTCCAGGTACGATCGAAGCGGAGACTCTGACAGTGGTGAGAGAAGTTGCGACAGGTAGAGCACGAAGTCGTCCCCGTCAGCGCACTCGACACCACCGGGGGGGACACCGAGATCGGGCCGTAGCCCTAGGGAGACAAGGAGGAGGACTGACGCCGGAGCTGTGAGAGTGCTAGCTTTAGAGGATGGGTCAACTGTACCAGTACCGTCGGACAGCGAAGCTGGAGACGGAGCAAGGGCAAGCACTGACAACCTACAACTAGCACGGGCCGATGGAGACCTCAATGCGAAGTGTGCACAACTACTTGCCGAAGTGCATATGTTGAACCACCAAAACGCATGGATGGTCGAATGTGAGCAGAGACAGAACCAGATTATACAACACGAGACCGAAGTCCACGAAGTAGTGATGACACAACTCGAAGAATGTTATGTAGAAGATTGTAGAAGGATATGGAAATCAACGAAGAATCTCCCAACTTACAGAATCCAGAGACTGTTTGCTCTCAGCAGCACACGATTTGCAATACCAGATTGACACTGATCGTGTGGCAATGCGGGATCGTCTCACCCAGTTAGGGGAGTACGCTGATCGCAACAGCGCAGAGATGGTTAGTCAAGTCGTGAACATCGGCACGGAAGAGATCCAGGCTATACCGGCGGAAAGAGATCGAGCTGTGACGGAACTCATGACTGCAGTCGCAGATGCTGAGAACATTAGGGATCTGTATAGGCAGGAGATAGTTGGACTACAAAGGCAGAGTGTCAGGAACAAACACGAATATGCCGAGGAGATGAAGATGAAGGAAGCAATGTATACAAGCAAGATCAAATGGTTATCAGAAGAGAATGAGGAGCTCAACAACCGATCTTATAATCAGGACAACTTCATCATGACCATCAGAGAGCAATTGAAGAGGGCGAACGAGGAGTTGACGCAGGCGAGGACTCAAGGATCCGACCGACCGTCTCAACCATCCAACGTCGAACTCAAGAAAGCTGAGGTCAAGATGAACATGTTGGAAGAAGACATTCTACGTAAAGAGAGGATGTTGAAACGTCTTCAGGAAGAATTGATCGAATCTAGCGCGAGTGAAGCACAGCTGAAAGTCGCACTGAAGATGAAACCACCAGACATGGGATCAGAATCCAATGTGGAGAGTGAGATGATGACCAGGCTTAAAGCGGAACTTGAACGCACCGAAAAGTCATTAAGGTCCGAGGAGAAAGAGGCGATGGAGTACTACGAAGGTATGATGCAGAACCAGCAGGACATGATGGAATTCGAAGCACATGCAGCACGACTCAGAGATGAGAGGAATAAGTACCGGAAGAGGTATGAAGAGGAGCGCATGAACGTCGAGAATGCAGCTGCAACCGAACATGGTGCCGCTTCATCCTCTAGCTCGGGTGGCTCCAAGATATCTCGGAAGGAACACGAGAAGATCAACATCCCTGCATGGCCCAAGATACACGACTTGGAGGTTTGGAAATCCCAAGTTGTAGCGGCAGTCGTGACGGCATCGGGCGACGAAAGACAAGAAGATTGGATCCAGTGGCTCTCGGATGCCTTCAAATCACCATATGACCCATTTCTGCTCGAGACATCGGGCGAAGCAAGATTCGCTAGCATAGATGCTAAGCTAGGTATCACCCTACACACGATTATCCACGCAGCAGGTGAGAGATCTCATGACGTACAACTGAAGGTGAGGCAGATGATGCAGAGACGTGCGAGAGGCACAACCCCGGGAATGGTTAAGGGACGAGAAATGTTAGCGTTGATCGTCGATAGCTTCCGGAGTGCCGACAACGTCGATGTGATGTATGCATCTAAGCACTTATTCGATCTGAAGTTCCCTGGAGATAATCAACTATCCAGATTCCTTGGACAGTGGGATGAGATCATATCAGGTATGGATGCGGATGACATGCTTCCTGACAAAGCACTCCGCAACCTGCTTTGGGACAAGATTAAAGATTCCAAAGTTATGGCGTTAGACTTGTCTGTATACGACAACATGTTGGATAAGGATCCGGATAAGACCTATCAGAAGTTACGGGAGATTATGGCAAAGTGGATACGGAAATCAATCGAGACCACAAATAAGAAAGAAAGGGAAAAAGCTTTTGGGAACCTTATGAAGGCTACACCAGCGGAGAACAAGGACCCTAAAGCGAAGCCCAAGAATACCAAGGCCGATCCACCGAAGGACGCCGCTCCAGTACTTCCTCAGAATAATCCGAAGGATCACCAAAAGAAGGACAAGAAGCAGGATCGCGGAAGGTCAACCACGAAGAGCCCGAAAGGGGACCGTGGCAGATCAGCGACTCCGGCAGACACGTCTAAGATAGGATGCGCTTTCCACCTCCATGGGAAGAACGGATGTTCTAGAGGAGACAAATGCAAGTTTAGTCACCAGGAGAAGCACAAAAGTTCTGCTAAGAAACCAGACAACCTCAAGGGTGACAGGTCAAAGAGTCCTGGTGGTAGGAGCACTAGCCCTAAGCCAATGAAGGATCAAGTCTGTTGGAATTGGCAGAAAGGATCATGCAAGTTCGGAGACAAATGTCGACGTCAACACCAAGCTGCTCCTGCGGCAAAGCAAGAGGCTAAAGGCAAAGCCAAGCCCAAACCAGCTGCACCGGCCTTTATGCTTTGCGGGGACATCGAGAGTGATGACGAGGACATGCAACCAGCACTTCCCAATATACGACGAGGTGGGTTGGCGCTTCGCTTTAAAGTCAGATTCGATGACCAGGCGAATGTGACCACGTTTCCTTGCGATCCTGGTAACGAACTA